CTCTATCTACCCTCTGGTATGAAGGTGCATTAAAAACTTCAATATAACACAAAATGTTAACTTTAATAATTACCAAGAAAAAAATCTCTTTGTGGAATTTGTTGCACATCTCAAATACATTTTTCTCATTGGCTTCTATTTGTAATACTTGGGCCAAGTTTTGTATCGCCCTGGCCTGTAATGGATAAATGGGATTTTAGTTATATAAATACATACACTAATACACTAACTGCTGCCTGCGGCCTCGTGTGAGTGATTTTTAAAATAAAATATAGCCTGTTATGAGTAACAGTATCAGTGGACTAATAATGTAACTTTTTAATGGTATAAAGAGGAAAGATGTCCATTTTTGTATGTATTAAAATAACTCAAAACTACTGGGTTGATTTTAAAAATTCTTTCATTGTTAGAAAGCTAATTTATCTGTGTACAAAAGACATATCTTCTATTATTATTTAAATTCGCAAGAACGAAGTCATGAGCAACAGCTAGTCTTCTAGAATTGTGGTTTCCTAAAGTTCTACTACCTTTAAAAAGACTTAAAGTTATTACTCACCTTAGCTACATTATTTTTGTTACACATACTTTCTTTATATAAAACATCATGTTTTATGTATTCCAGTCCAAATTTAGAAAGAAAATGTTCCGACCAATATTCTTCCGTTTGACTTGATGTAGTTTCATTAACCTAAATTAAAAGATACATGGAGTAAAATATTGTAAATATTTTTTTTCATAGATATAAATGTTCACTCGTGCGCAGTTTTTAAAGGAAGGGTCAACAGCAAATCTGCGCACGAGCATAAATGTGAAAACCCAATAGGACATCGAGATTTTTACTACGTTCTGTGTAGTTCTACGTTCGACACTTAGGGACACTTTGTACAGACAGTAAATGCGATAAAGCTGTTATTAATAAAATAATGAAGTTCCTAATTCATGTTTGTCAATTTACCATCTTTAAATCCATGTCTCATCAAGTCTTGAGTACTGCAGTTGCAAATAGTAATGTTGTAAAATATCGCACAAAACAACGTTGCAATCCTAAAGAAATCACAATTTCTTTATCCACAAATAGTAAATAATGGCACTTGGCGTTATTAACAATATAAAACTACAACATCAAACCTTTAAACAATTTTGAAACATTTCGTGACGCTTGACATTTGGAAATGACAAACAGCCAAAGAGTGTATAAAATATAACGAAAATGACGTTCAACAAAGAGTAAAGCCAGTTTTACCATTGAAGATCTTGATGTACCTAAGACCTAAACCAAGTTGTTTCCTTTTTTCCTATATACCTATAGGGAAAATTTAAAACTATGATCTACATAGGCCCACTGATAATCATTTCCCATTTATACACGGCTTTTTTACACGTTGTACACAATTTTTTTTAGTGGCAGCACTGATCACAGCTGCTCATATTTATTTTCTACAATCTGGGGCACTGATCGAGTTCACAGAGTACTTTGTAACATACTGATCGAGTTTGACATTGACATTTTGATCGAGTTGCGGTTGCGTTAAAAAAAACGTAACAATATCAAAGCAAACACATTGCAAAGTAAAAAGATAGTTAATTATATCTAAATATTATAGAAAAATAAATGTTTTAAATTAAAACCAACATGCCGGGTTGCGCTTTGCGGCATTGCAAAACTCGTTACGATTCAGGCCCGAGATTCAGCTTGTTTTCGTAAATATTTTTTTCCCTAATCATTAAGAAATTGATAATTCTATAACAAAACATACAACTATTACCCAAGTTGAAACGTTATCATTAACTATATTATACATTTTATATTCAGTTACGATTAAGAGTTCCCTATTTTCTGAAACAACACTTCTTTACAGTGTTCGTCTATGTTTATAGATTTCCACCAACACGAAATGAAGTATTCGAAAAGTGGATACAATTTGTTCGAAAAGAACGACACGAAATCCACTGGTTTCCATCTAGTGCATCAAAATTATGTTCAAAACATTTTAGAATGGGTGACATGCACTTTGGTGTGTCTGGTAGAAGAATCTTAAGAAGAGGATCGGTACCCTGTGAAGTAAGTTAACGATGTTTTCCTTCGTAAGAACGTCGGGTAAATTATGTACATATAAAATTCGAAAAATCGAAAATCACATTGGTTTAAAAGACAATCTTAGTACGCGATCCTTTGAATTTCGTATCCTAGGTAGAATTGAAATTGTTTTATTTAACTTTTTCTGTTTACCCAGTTCCAGTTTTTAATAATAGGCTGATCGGTAAACTGATTGGTCCCTAATAGCCAGAATTGAGTTCATTGGCCCAATGGGAATTCAAGATTGGTCGGCAGATTGGACCAAATGCATACTTTTATATACCTTTCATTAGTTTCAGAATGATGATAAGGAAGATATTAAAAATCAAATAGAATTTGTTGAAGTCCCAGACGGATGTATAGAAATGAAACCAAACAAAGAGAAAATCGAAACAGAAGTTACATTAAAAGCTCAAGTTTGTCTGTTAGAAAAAAGAAAAATAATCCATATTAACAAAATAAGAAAATTATCCCAGCAAAATAGATATTTTAAACGTAGATTATTGGAATTAAAGGATTTGGTTAGTTTCTATAAAAAGAGATATAAAATGGATAGTAATGTATCAAGCAATGTACAAAATTAGAACCAGTTGTTAAAAAAATAAATTATGTTAGGTTAAATAATTTTTAACATTGTATTATGTGTTTGTTATAAAATGTTGATTTTTTTAGTTTAATAAGGTAAAGAATAGCAGCATTATTATTTTTTAATAAAATATTTGAATATCATCAAAACAATTTTTTTAATGACACCTGTATTTCAGAGGCTAATTTCGGTCCCTTTCTCCTTCGACCCTTTTCTTATAAGGAAAGGATAGGAGGAGATAAATTTGACAGGGAGATGCATAAGAAGGGGAAATATCCTCTTTGTTAAGGGAAGACATTATCTGTAGTTGCAGTTGTCTACGGGTGGTTATATGACTATTCATATACCACCATAAGATATTTAAAAAAATCCTGTTAGTCTATTTTGTTAAAGTTTGCTGTTATAACACTAACTAATTATTGTAGAATGACTCCAATAACTTGATTGTTTTTGGACAAATGAAACAATTCTTCAATAAATATTACAAGTTTATTGAACCTAGTTGTACACAGCGCGGACACTGTCGCGGATTCACAATTTATACAAATCACAAACATCTAATTACAAAATTTATTAATAAAAAGTATATCTAAATGACAATTACTTACAAAATTAGAATTAAAAGTGGAATTTCGAATAAATAACCAGTCTCTTGTTGGTGGGAAATAATGCATGCACTGAATTCGTTGGAGAAACATCTGGCGGCTGTGAGAGAGAAATGTATAAAAAATGTACTAAAAATTACATTTTGTGTACGAAAAAATTGCAGAAAAAAATTAATACAGCTGTATTCTTATGAAAAAAAATCATATACGACAAAAAATTATGAAATTTCAGTAAACAATCAACTTTTCTTGCGGTAATTAACTAAGGAGTTTTTACATGTCTTGCTCTCACAACTGCCAGCAATTAACATATAAAACAATACTAACATACAAAAAATCAGTCTAAAAGTTTCTCTTATTAACTAAATTTAGTTTACTATTACTGCTCTGTGACACCTTCCTGTTTATGTACTGAAAGTATGGGATCATATTTTCTAAGTTTTAACTTCTTTTACAATGTGAAATCTAAGGTAATTTGTTTAAAACGAAAGTACAAAAAATCGTAATAAACTGTTTCACAGAGCAGTGGCAGAACAGTACAAAGTCAAATACGAAATGAATCCGTTTTTTCTAATGTGAAATGGCTATGCATAAACAATTTCGTCCACTGGAAGTACAAAAGGGAAGAGATCAATCGTATAGAAAATATATCTAATATAAACTATTAAAATTCGTGCGCGAATCCTGTCTGTCTGTCAGCGACCGTGTTAACAAAAACTATATTTACTTACATGTAATAGAAAAATACTAAAAAGTGGAATTATTTACAGGAGGCTTGAGTATCAAGGTGCGTTGGTCGCGGTACGTTCGGTACTAAAATGTTCAAATGTTATTTGCTTCAAATGTGGATCAAAAATATGTCATTACTATACATTTTATAATGTTCGTTTTATACCAATTTCACACGAGGACAGAACACTTGTACAACAATAGTACTGTACTGCCAAACTGTACTACCCTCGTGTGAAAAGTCCGCTACGAGTGACATAGAAATATACAATAATAAAAAACTGTGTACAAAATTGAATCTTAAAACTATAGGGTTAGGGTACAAAATATTTACAAGTAAGAAATGCGACTTTAACAAGCGACGCTATACAAACTCTGTTTTTGCTATGTTTTTCAGCTGAAACATTCACAAGAAACATGTTTCTAAACAAACATTAAGAGAATTATTACGGATTTCCACTGGAAAAAAACACGTACAATACATAAATATTACTATGAATGCCGTTAACACTTTTTGGAACAGTAGTACTACCAAAATTAGAAATGTATTTATATAGACTTTCCATTCTTTATATTTAAATTATATAGAGTATTGAAATACATAAAGTACAGTCAGCTGCACAAATTACTATTCAAAACTGTTGACACACTTATTGGTCTTTAGTTTCGAAAATATAAATGCACGATTCTTTGCATAACTACGATTTTATGGTATTGACAAATACATGCTAAAATATTTGAAAAAAAAAAACCGAAGATTTGTTTTTGAATTATCAGAAACTAGCTGTTCTCATGCGACTTCATTCGCAAAAAATTATAAAATCTCATTTTTTATTGTTTACATTTGTCAAATTATCAATTGCAAATGTCAAAATGACATAACATGACAAACCATGGCAACCTTGCTTCCTTGATGTTGGCAACAACTTACGATCTTTTTCCCACATTAGGGTTTTTATCCAAAATATTTACCCTCCTAAGTTTAATGGCGTTAAAATATATAGCCTAAAGCATAACATAATCTTAGGGATTTTTATTTAAAAAAAGGGTTATTCGAAAATATGCTGTGATTGCTGACATCTTAGGCAACAAAGTAGTGTGTGTTTACGCTTTATTACATTAGGATAGATGTCTATATTTGTGTAGCTGACTGTACAATTCAGTTTTACATACATATTTTTATAATTTCAAAACATTTAGTGCATCTAATTTATATAAATTAAATAATTGGTATTCCACTAATATGTAAGATTTTTAGTAATAATGCTAAAAAATTCCAAATAAAACGTTTTATTTTTCATTATGTTTAAATGGCACCGTTTAATAAATCGCATTATAAAAATTATTTATATTGTTTTATTTACTTTATAAAAAGTGTATATTTACATATAAAATTAGTTATTATACAATGGATTTTATAAGCAAATTAAAGGCAGTGTTAGCAATTAGATTAGAGCCATTTAAACTGCTGATTAAAGAGCCCCTTAGTGTAGATTATTAGAGATCCGGACTATAGAGTTGCATAAACCATTAAACAATAAATCGATTCATGTTATTTTTACTAAAGTTTGAAGTTTATTGTAGAATTATTAAAAATTTAGTTTTCCTCGATTAATTATTTTGAGTTTTATTTTTATTTTCTTTAATCAGACTATAAGTACAACCTCATTTATAATTTTAACGTTTTCTTTTCAACGTTTTCTTTATATTTGTTAGCAGATTGTTTAAATATTTCATTAATTTGAGCTTTTATTAATTATTTATTTACGCTTTATTATTTGCAAAATATTTTCTTATCAAATCGTATTTATAAAACATATTGTTAGCGCGTTAGTGCGACAGATTTATCTGACCCGGTAACAAAGTTTTTGTGCGGTTTCTGTCAAAAATATGTAAAACATAACAAATGTCAAAAATCTTGTGCTATTTAATAATAACAGGCGCTAGTGAGTTATTATCATCACTTTTAATAAGGTCCCAAACTAGAAAGCGGTCAATTCAATTCGCTGAAAAGGCGAAGCGACTTCTGTACTTACAAATGCGGTAGCTTCTCTTATTTGACGGTGGAGACGCATATAAATAGGATATTTCCCCTTCCTATGCATCTCCAGTCAAATCCACTTTCCCTTCCCATCCTTTCCTTATAAGAAAAGGGTGTATAGATAAAGTAACTAAAATAGGCTTCCGGCAGAGACTGTATGCGGAATTACTTCCACTTCACGCCTGTAATGTAGTCGTTGTATTTGGTTTCTTGCATAAATATGCAAATATATTAAAACCACTGTCACCGGGTCAGATAAATTTGTCCGATTTTAATTTAACTTGTATTTCACATTTAAAGTTCATTTTAGTTTAGACTTCACTAGCAATGGAACTGCTGCTGTGTGATGGCGGAGAGGTCCTTCATCAGACCCTCCAGGTTCTGCATCTCCCGGTGGAGGCGCTCCGTCGACCTGGACGGCGTCAGCGGCTCCAACTCCTCGGAGCAGTGCGGCACCCCGCCGCCTGACACAATATAAGTACATATTTGTATTAACTAGCTATTGCCCGTGACTTCGTTCGTGCAATATTAAAACTACATATGCCTAGGAAACTTGACACTTTTAGGTATCTCATGTGTTACTTAAAACTTTTTATATATGTGTTTTACAATTAGATATGTTAGCAGAATTATCGAGTAAACATGAAAAAAAAAACACTTATTCCAAAGGAATCGTAATTATTTCCGGGATCAAAAGTTGCCTATGTGTTCTTCCAGACTATTCTCTACATCTGTGCCAAATTTCAATAAAATCCGTTAATCACTTTAGACATCCATCCATCCAAACTTTTTCATTTTTAGTAAAATGTATGTATGGACTTACCGAGCTGCAGTCTATTAGGTAAGTGACCGGGCGATGAACTGGCGCTCTTTTTGTATGGCGAGGTTTCTCTCACACTGCCCGCTAGAGAAGAAAATAAAATAAATCACCGATCAGTAAAAGTGGATAGGTCTTAGATAAAAACAGTTTTTATTCAATAATTTAATTTTTTTTGTCTGTCTGTCCGTTAGCCGCTTTTGTTCCGGGTAACCTCTCAAACCGCTTTGCCGATTTCGACCATACTTTCACTGGAGCTGACATAGACGGGCATA